CTGATCTACCCCTATAATTCCAACCTTCACATCGGTCCTGAGAAGTCTTAAATCCTATTCTCTAACTTTCTTTTGTTCCTAAACTTCAGACATTTATTTCTAGTTGCCTTCTAAATACTTCCATTTCTAGATGTCCCATAGGCACTGCAGACTCAGCATGTCCAAGCCTGAGATCATCTTGCCTCCCTCCCTCTGCTCCTCCTCTTGTGATTCCCATTTGGATTAATAGTGTTACCACTTACCCGGGGGCGGGGGGCAAGCCGGAAATGTGGAATCATTTGGATAATTCCCATACCTTACGTTCATAATCAACATTGGATGAATCTACCTCCATAATGTCTCTCAAATCCACCCTCTTTTCTTCTCTTCCCCTGTGCTAGCACGGTGTTGTAGAAAGAACCAGAGTTTGCCTTTAATAGCTGTGATCTTAATATGGATAGTAAGTCAGGTTATTTAATAAAGCTGAACCTGTTTCCTCATCCCTAAAATGAGGGTTTAACATCTGCTTCACATGGGTGATGTGAGGTTTAATTTAAATGCCATTCCATGAAAAACCATCTTTCACAAAGTAGATGCTCAGTAGCTCCTTGTTGTCTGTTACCTATCTGCTCCTACACTCTCTTGACTTGCAACCCATCTTCCACAATGTGCCAGTTATCTTTCTAAAACTCAAATATCATTTCTCTACTCAAAAACCTTTGATAGCTCCCCAGTGCCTACAAAATAAGTTCTTATTTCTTGGTATGGCATTCAAGGCTCTTTAAAACCTGTCAATATTCCTTTCCTATTCTCCACTATGCCCCCATACTCCAGTTATGCCAGGTAATAAATAGGTGGCCTAGGCACTGTCAGGCTTCCTGGCCCTTGTTGTTTACACTGAAACTTCTGCATGGAAAGACCTTTTCCTCCTTCACCTGCACAGTCCTGCTTATCCCTCAAGGTCCAGATCAAATGTTACTAACTTTGTAAAGCCTTCCCCAAACTTCTTGATTTTGCCTATGCTGCTGGTATGACACAACATACCATCTTATTGACAGAAGACAATCTCCCTTGCTCCACTGTTATGTCTTCGTGTTTTATACATCTTTGTCTTCCTAGAATTGAGCAAAGTCCCTAGCACACTATGGATCTTCAATAAAGAATCACCAAGTTACATTTCTAGGATTACCCCTGTTCCCTAAAGTATCTCTCTCACTGGATTATAGCACCTAAAAATACAGGTACTAAAGATTTTTGATCTTCAAGATTTCTTCTATTAATATGTTAACAGATTTAGAGGAATTATTTTATCAGCTCATTCCAAATATGATAACTATGAGATTAGACCCTTCAAAACCCTTAGATCCAACAATTTGACTTCCAGGTATTTACCATATAAGTGTATTCACGTACCTACAAGGTAACATATTCACAGTCATTCATTGCATTGTTAGTAATAGTAACACTGGAAACAACCTAAATGTGCATCAACAGGGAACTGGTTAGGTAAATTAGGGTATATTCATATGATGGAATATTATGCAATGTAGAAAAAAGAAATGAGGGCGTGCTTTAAGTATTGACATGGAATGATCTTTAAGATGTAATATTAACTAAAAGAAGAAAGCTGTAGAACAGCGTTTATAGTATATGGTACTATTTATGCTTAAAAGGGAACATATATATGTATGTTTTCTCAGGCACAAAATATTTCTGGAAGGATATATAAGAAACCGGTAAGACTGATTTAGCTCCCTCTAGGGAGATGAAGCAGGTGCTGGGCAAAAGAAGCAAGAGGGATACTTCCCACTATACATCTTTTTATATATTTTGAATTTTGAATCATACAAATATGTACATTTTACCTAATGGATATGATATATTGATATATGATTATGAATATATTATCTATTGAAACAATGCATTTAAAAATAAAAAGCTTCTCAAGGAACTTGGCATAGACTAGGCATGTGTGTGTTTTGGGCCAGGAGGAATACCAGGAGAGGGGGGAGTTCTTCTGTTTCTGAAGAAATCCAGTTGTTATAATGAGGCTGGTGCCTATAGGGAGGAAAGGATCCATGTGGTGGCAGAGGAAGGGAGGAAAAAGCTATCTGAGGAATAACTCAAGAAGGAAAGTACGCAGGAATATTTTGAGGCCAGGTCTCCTTGCCTGGAAAATGAAGGAAGACAGGAAACAATGCCACACGGCTGAATGTATCACAAGCATTTAAAAAAAAATTGCATACCCTTTGACCAAGATATGGATTGATCTGCAAGATAATGTTGGGGGTGGGGTAAGGTGCAGAATAATATGTATAGTATGATACCATTTGTAAAAAGTGGAAATAATATCAACATATATTTGCTGATATATGCATAAAATATCTCTAGAAGGTTATACAAAATATCAGTGACATGTCTCCGGGGAGCAAAATTTCCTAGGAATTTAAGAAATAATTGAACAAGTGCATAAGAATATGGAGTAACCAAATTGAAGACTGGTTAAATAAACTGTGATACCTCATACAATGGAATCTTAAAATGGCAAAATGGCAGCCATTAAGATGACATCATGCATGCCCACATTAAATCATATTAACAGCTGTTCATAAATGGGAAATATAGGCTACCAAAGAATAGGAATACTATGATCCTATTTTTGTTCAATTTTATATATACATATAGAGTATATATATGGGTTTAAATCATGGATAGATATTAAATATGGATATATGGTTCCCTCTAATATTGGGATCTTGATTTTCTTCTTGATACTCTATTTACCTGGTTCTTCTTTAATAATTAGAAATAAAGTTAAATATTAAAGAAACAAAACTGTAACCTAAATAACAGGGCATTTTCTCTTTGCTGCCCTCCTTATCCACCAAGAACACTTCCCCTCATGGTGTCACACTCCCAGAACCCATCCCCCTCCATGCCCTCAACTCCTGCCCAAAGGAGCATTGGTCCAAGGCCTTTACCAAGAAGTCCCTGGGAGCACAGGCAGCAATAGGCAAGAGGATTAAGGTTCCTAAAAACAATTCCAATTGTAAATAAACTATACGCCAATTAAAACAACAACAGCAACAACAAAACAAACCACTTCCATCACCTGACACCACAGGGTAAGGAAGGGTGTGTGTGGAGGAACCAGGGATGCTTCTTGCTCCCCATCCCACAGAAGGTGTGAGGGTGAGGAAGGTTAAGCCTTTTCTCTAACCCACCACCATTTCTCCCAAGGTGATTATTTGGGAAAAGTCAGGATGGAGAGTAGACCAGGAGAGAGAGGGTTTATTCTTTAAAATTTAAACATTTTGTGTCTCCTTGAGAAGAGGCTGATGGAAAAGTACAGCATAATAATAATTCTTATTAATAATAAATAGATAATACCTTATTGGATGTTACCTGTCCAGGACAGGGACTCCAGTGGTGGTGAGGTAGAGGACAGAGCAGTCTGTCTGGCTACTTTAATTATGGTGTGCATGTCTTTCTGAATGTCATCAGTAGATATCAATGACAAGGGAGATGGTCCATTTCCTGTTCCTGCTATAAAAAAGCAGGGACTACTTGGATAGTGTCTATGTTGGCTTCTGGGGAGGACAAAATTTCCTGCTCAGCTCCGTTTCTGCGTCTCGAAGAAGCTCAGCCACCAAGTGTTCCAGGGTGGTGGGGGAGAGAGGTGCAGCCTCTCGGGCAGAGTAAGAACCCAAGGGAAGAGAACCCCTTAAATCAGGGAGCCGCCTGAGCAGCACATAAAACGGCTCTGACTGGCTCTGGTTTGGGAGATCTGCGTCTTATGATTCTCCCCCCCCATTATAAAGATTTTCCTCCTTCAAAAACCAATCGGAGAACCACCCTTATTCTACAGATTAGGGAGCCCTGATAACGTACACACCCAACACATACGCAAGTATCTGCGCACCAGTAACACACGAGCATCACACACGCCGAAACACAGATCGACCACACACAGACCCAAGAACACTGGGACTCTAGGCAGGCTGTTCTATACCCACGCATCCCCTGATATACACACGAGGACAGGGGAGAGAAGGAGGATTAGGATGGGCGGTGCGCACACGGCCCTGCACTCAGACACGCGCACCAAGCAACACTCCGCACCCACCTGCGCTCCCAATTAAGTACGCACCTTGGACAGGCACCATCCCGAGGACCGACCTGCCCAAACGCCTTGCCGGGCGGACGGCACGTTACCGCCCGAGCGCGGCGGACCCAAAGCCCCAAATCTAAAGGAAAAGGCATCGCAGGCCAGTAAGCGAGGAGAGGAGAAGGGAGATGCGATGCGCTCCTTGGGGAAGGGGACTCGGAAGCTAGTGGGAACGACAGTGAGAGTGCCTGTCCTCTGCCCCTGTCCCGCGAGCCTTACTGATCCTGGTGTGGCGGCTGGTGGCTGTGTGGCGTCTCCCTGCCCTGCGCCGCGGCCTCACTGAAGTGGTGCCGGACGCCCCCGCCAAGGAGGGGGCTCCGGCTCAGGTGACCCCAGCCTCCCCGCCGGCAGTAACTGCCGGCCCCGCTCAGCGCATTCTGCAGAGCCTTGATGGAGCGCATCCCCCCAGCGCGCCGCCCGCTCGGCCAGAGCTGCCAGGGCTTCTGAGCGGTGGTCGGAGGGAGGGGCGGAGGAAACGCGGACCACGTGGGGCGAGCTAAGCAACGGAGTGCCGGACTTGCGGGGTGGAGAGGTGAGGCCCGGTAGGTGGGGTTGGAGCAGGAGGAGGGGCCGGTCCCTACAAGGCTCGGTACACTGCCAGGTGCACCCAATCCCCGCCTAGACAAGGCGTCGATGTGGAGTGCACGCGATAGGGAACACAGAGCGCAGGGTGTCTAGTGGCTGGTGAGAAGTGGGCGGTGCCTGAGAGTTGGGATGGACAATGCCCAGGCCCAATCATTGAGAAAGTAAAAAACTTAGGGGCGGAGATAAAACGAGGCTACCCAATGAAAGCAAGGCGGTGGGCCGTCCACAAAATCCGGCGGATTCCTCCGCGTTCCGGCCCGCTGCAGCCCGCCGTGCGTGCAAGCGCCGAGGGCGGGAAAGCTGAGGTGGGGCAGTGGTAAAGGCGGAGGATGCCGCGGCGTCAGAATGATGGAATTCTCGGAAAGAGGGGAAAGCGGTAGCTCTCTACACTCGGATAAGAGTGAGCCCTGCTCAAGAGGCCTCTTAGTGACCTCCGATATTCGAAGTCCAAAACCGGCCTTCAGTACCCGGCCTCGTAGCGCGGCGTGGAGGCCCAACGAATGCCTCGTTTCCAGCACGCGGTGTTGGTGAGTGAGGAGTCATATGGCAGGAAATTACCCCGACCAGAAACAGCGCCCAGGCACTTCAGTGAGATCATGAGGCGGGGGAAAGGTCATCCTGGGCTGCTAGGGTGCCTGGGTTCTCGTTTTACCTCTGCCAATTATTTGGTGTCTGTTTAAGACTTAGGTGTCCTTAACTCTGAGCCCTTAAACATTTTATAAGCCGTTAGGTGCCCCCTAAATTTTAGCTAATTTAATTGCTTGCCTCTGTATTCCTCACAGGCAGAAAAGATGTACAAAAAGAATTTTGAAAACTAAGCACATTCGGGAATTTTATCATTTGCAATTAGGAGAACATTCACCTATATCTTCACAGCATCCGTATTTAGTAGGAGCTCATGGAAATAATAGCTGTTATGGTTTGTCAACCACTTTATATAGTCTGTCTCTCCCTGTTACCAGAGACCTAAAGAATAGTTATTACTAGTCCCATTTTGAAGATGAGGAAACTAAGACTCAGAAATTAAGACTTTTTCTTTTTAAAATATTTATTTATTTATTGGATGCATCAGGTCTTAGTTGCAGCATGTGGGATCTTTTGTTGCAGTGCGCGGGCTTCTCTCTAGTTGTGGCGCAGGGGCTCAGTTGTCCCCCGGCATGTGGGATCTTAGTTTTGCCACCAGGGATCCAACCAGCGTCCTCTGCACTGCAAGATGGATTCTTAACCAGTGGACGACCGGGGAAGTCCCAAGACTTTTTTGAATAAGATAACCCATCTAATAAGTACCAGAGCCAGGAATCAGACCCAAGTCTCTGACTACAAGGCTCTCTCCATCATGCAGCTCATCCCAAAATTAACCACTGAATTATTCCAGTTGCTCCTAAAGGAAGCATTTACGTCGAAGCAGTATAATACGGTACTGAGAATTGGCTAGAGGCTGGCTGTATCACAAAATGTCACTTGCTTTTCTTTTTGTTTTTGGATTAAAATGAGCATCAAGGGTAACTGTGGGAAAAGAAATATCAAAACGATACTCTGGTGTGTTCTGTGGAAAGGCAGTTCTCCTTTGGCTTGGTTAAGGTCAGAGGGTTTATTTAGTTTGAAACCGGGTAGAGTGACCTTCCTTTTGTTTTTGTTTGTTTGTTTTTCCCTTCTGTAGTTATTCCTTATCTGCCCTATCCATTCTTCTATAGGTAGGACTCTAATTCAGGGACTCCAGCTTACCCTGGCTGCCTTATTAATGGCTTTGCCCATTACTTCTTTAAGAAAGTTCTGGGTCTTAATACTTAGTATAAATGCGAGCCAGCATTAACTTTTCCAAATGTAGTAGGCTAATCTTATCCTTGTTTCATAGGAATGCTATATCTCTGAAGTTTTTGAGCTGTCACGAGAAAGATAACATGTGTTAGGGAATTTCTTAAACATTACCCAGGTGTTTGCTTCCTTTTATTTCCTACCCCTGCTTTTTTGAATTAGCTTTAATTATAATCAGTAACAAGTTCCTCACTCTTTTTCTTCCCAGGTCTCTCTGATAGTAGGAATTTGTTGGGCAGTGAAGAAAGTCTGCCTGTAGAAGGGGAGGTTCTTTGCATAGAGATCTAGCACTTTGACCTTTGGACTGATTCTTCTTCCACTATAACATTGCTACTTTTGTATGAGGATGGAGGGTGAACCGGTGACTTGGGAGGCCCACAGCATTGTGTAAAGTATAAGATATTTAAGAACAAGTTTGTCATCCCAGGTGGTTAGAGTTTGGCAATGTTAAGTTCTTTTTTTTATTTCTGATTTGAAAAGGTCGTATCCAGTTAAATCTTTGCAAAAGTACTAGCCAGCTGTGACATGGCCAGCTAAACCCGAAGCTTTTCATAAGCTTTCAGGTATCTCGAATAGTAGGTTTTTAGGCCAGTCCCTTGTTGTGCTAGAGTTTTGTGGTGTATGGGGAAGGATTTTGAATTTTTAAATCAGAAAAGCTATATCCTCTGTGGTACAAAATTGGAAACTTGATGCTTATGTTTGGAGGATGTATATTTGTTATGATTTACAGACTGTCATTTGTTCTACTCTTTAGATTGTAGTTAAATCTTAATTAGTCAGAGTGAAAGATTATTTCACATAAGTTATTTTTTTCATTAGCGTTTGTTCTGCAAAAGTTACTCTTGGTGCACATTCCTTCCTGCCTTAGTTTCTCCATTTGTAAAAGATGATCTTGTCTTTTACTGGGTACAATATAAGTACTGGGAGCTCTGACATAATCATCTTCAGTTCATTCAATGAATATTTATTCATTGGCCTGTAGTGTGCCAGGCCCAGTGCTAGGAAATACAGAAATTAAAAACAAAAAACCAGTTTCTGATTATTGGAAGAAATGAGAAAGCCAGTGTTTAAAATTCCTAATGAAAAATGCTGAGGTGAAGAGATATGAAAAAGGAAGTAGAAAGAAGGGGCATCTAACTAGGCTCGGGGTGAAGGGTAGCTAAGATAAAGGGGGAGGGGCATCAAGGGAGGTTGGGGGATTGGAGCCAACTCTTTCACTTTTTCCCATTCATGGATGGGTTTTTTAAATCCACTTTTTTTTTAAAATTTATTTATTTTTGGCAGCATTGGGTCTTCGTTGCTGCACGCGGGCTTTCTCTAGCTGCGGTGAGCGGGGGCTACTCTTTGTTGTGGTGTGCAGGCTTCTCATTGCGGTGGCTTCTCTTGTTGTGGAGCACGGGCTCTAGACATGCAGGCTTCAGTAGTTGTGGCACGTGGGCTTCAGTAGTTGTGGCTCGCAGGCTCTAGAGCGCAGGCTCAGTAGTTGTGGTGCACGGGCTTAGTTGTTACGCGGCATGTGGGATCTTCCTGGACTAGGGCTCGAACCCGTGTCCCCTGCATTGGCAGGCGGATTCTTAACCACTGCGCCACCAGGGAAGCCCTAAACCCACTTTTATTCGTTAATTGTAAGTAGTACAGATATTCCAAAAATATAAACAGACACTTAATGGCGTCCTACATTTCAAGTGTTGTTTTTTTTAAATTTTTTATTTATTTTTATTTTTGGCTGCGTTGGGTCTTTGTTGCTGTGCGCGGGCTTCTCACTGCAGTGGCTTCTCTTGTTGCGGAGCACAAGCTCTAGGCGTGTGGGCTTCAGTAGTTGTGGCCCGCGGGCTCAGTAGTTGTGGCCCACGAGCTCTCGAGCGCAAGCTCAGTAGTTGTGGTGCACGGGCTTAGTTGCTCCGCGGCATGTGGGATCTTCCCTGGGCCAGGGCTCGAACCCGTGCCCCTGCACTGGCAGGCGGATTCTTAACCACTGCGCCACCAGGGAAGCCCCTCAAGTTTTTGAATACAACAAGTTTATCAAACCATGAACCTGTGAGCAAGGTAGTCAGAACCCCACAGCCCAGTCACGTTGGGAAGCAGATCTCCCCCACCCTCCAAACGGTATCTTGAAGGGGGTTACGTGGCACGACATGGAACATGTAAAATCTGAGATACTACAAGCAAAGAAGCTCACGGGGCGCAAAGAGGAGGGTCTGCTCCGGGGGCAAGCCCCACAGCAGTAAAGGAATGGTGCAGGGGGCCAGACCCCTGCCTTCCCTCCCCTGCTTGAATGCAAGTATTTACCAGTATTAAAATAAAAGGACAAAACTAAAACCCCATTTTACAAAAAAGGCGACTGAGGGACAGTAGTGGCAAGTAACTGACTGAAGACCTGAAGGGGAAAACAGGCTTACTTTCCGCAGACACTTGACCTGTCTGGGACATGGGATACAGGACAGCCTTACGGGGGGGTTGCCTTATTGAATGAGGCCTCATGAACAGGGTAGGGGTAGCAAAACAAAACGGGATCCATTTCCCAGGGAATGACTGCCTTTAGACTTCCCATGCTTTTAGCACAGAGAAGTTTCTGGGCCACTGTTAACAGAGGTGAATTTATAAAATGGTCAAAATCTTTGGGAGGCAGGAGGGAATTAAACAGAAGGTCCCAGGTTAACTGAAGGCAAATTTACTCAACCTCGCTATAGTAAGGGACCCATGGACCTACAGAGTGTCCCCTCTACAATGTGCAGAGTGGAAACTCTGACCCTTTCCAAATTGGTCCTGTGTCCAAAGCTCCCCCTATGAGAGGGACACGAACATCAGGCTTTTGATTTAGAAGCCCAATCAGAGAGACACACTGTGTCCCTGAAGAGGCACCTTAAAGAACTGAACCTGGCAGGTGGGCAGATTCCTGGCACGGTGTGAACTGGGGTCGGCCAGGCCTGGTGGCCTATTGCTTCCCGAAGACCAGCCTCAAACAGGAAGGGCTGGTAGGAAACCCCGGAAGAGATCCTGGGGTGAACTGGCTCCCTCTCAATCTTGCCTTCCTCCAAAACTGAGTCTGGCCTGATTCCTCTAAGGAGCACGTCTTGCAGTCATCTCTTGCCCCTAACACACTGTGAAACTGGAGACCAGAAGGTGCATAATGACTTCAGGCTGGCTCTGGTCCACACCGATGGACCCTGCTTAGACCTATTTGGCTGAGCTGCCTCTCCAGGGAAGGGAGGAGAGGGTGAGTGGGGGTGTGGCATTTCTGGTGAGGAACTGCATGGGGGCAGGGCAGGGTTCTGGCCAGAACGAGGCCTATGGAGCCAGGCTTCATGCAGAAGCAGCGGGGACACTCCCACCAAGCCATCCTGGGCTCTGGTCATGAGTCCCTTGGAACACTTGGACAAGTCTGATAGGAAAGCAGGTGGCACCAGCTCTTCCTTCACCTGGAGGCAAGGAGACCCAAAGCAGGGCAGAAAGGGGCCTCGGAACTGGATCAGCTTAGAGCCTCTTATTGCTTATTTAGTCAGAAAAGCATAGCTGGACCCCATGGCAGATTTGGCCCAAGGGCTAATCCTTAGGATGGGGCTTGGGAGAGAGGCCCCTCCTGCAATATTAGGATAGAGGCCTAGGCCAGGGCCTTAGAATCAGAAGCTCCCACTTTCCTTCAGGAGGTGTCGCTCCTGGCCAGCCCTGGAGCCCTCTTCCCCTACCTGCATGAAGCAGGATCCCACAGGCA